ATGCAAAAGTAATGGCTATTATAACAACATAAAAAGTAAGTAACATGCCTCATCTTTTCATAACACTGTGCAACACACACGATATAAAGAAATTTTGATAATCTGTCTTTTCATTACATCTCTTTCTTCTACATGTGTAGTAGTCATTGGTGTTATTTGATCTGTGCATCAACAAAGACAACGTTTTCAAACACAGCATAAAAGTGCAGAAAAGAAGAGAGGAAATATCATTCATAAAGAGAAATCATTAAGGACAAAAAACGTTAGAGAAAGGTGAAAGGAGTATTCTCTTTTTTTCTATGAAAAATAACACACATGAAACATGAAACATAAACTCAAAGAAAAGGATGAAAAAGCCTTAATAGAATGAAACACATGCATCTAGATGAGAGAAAGAATATATAGTCATAGATGATATTGTTTGCACATGTACAAACAAAACAAGTTAATATATATTCTCCATTGCCGTTAGACGTTGAACATTTGTACACATACAAAATCCATCATCTTGTGAAGTAGGAGTTGATTACTCCTTTTTTTCTTGTCAGTACGTTCACGCCTATTCGTCATGGCCACCAGTCAACAGCACATAGTTACGCTCAGCAGTGATCAACACACAAATAATAACAGTTATACACGCCGTAAACAAACGGTCAATGAATCCATGACCATTCGTCTGTACATTAAAACATTCTGGATGGACTATTTGGCCATGGCAATTCTAGGAGCAGTTGGTCTAGGAGTCTATTATGTTAGGCCAGCACCTAACCGTAGCTTTCCCATATATTTCAGCGACGGCCAAATCGTGTATCCCGAATTCGCATATCCGCTTCGTAGCAACATCATTCCAATTTGGTTAGCAGCATTTCTAGCTTTTATCGTTCCATTCCTCTTCATCATGTTCATGCAAATTCGAGTACGCAGTTTTAATGACGCTAACACCGCTATCATGGGATTACTTTTCAGTTTAATCACCGCTGCAGTGTTTCAAGTGTTCATCAAGTGGCTTATCGGTGGTCTTCGTCCGCACTTTTTCGACATTTGCAAACCGAATATAACCGTTGCGGCTGTAGGCACGGGTAGTGGTTTCGGCGGAATAATGTTCGATCGATCGATTTGCACGGGCGACGAAAAACAGATCAACGACGCTCTGGAATCTATGCCCTCAGGGCATTCAACAGCTGCATTTGCTGGGCTTCTCTACTGTTCATACTATCTTAACGGGAAACTCAAAATCTATGCTAACTACCGGCCACAGTACTGGAAACTTGTTCTGTTCTACGCACCAATCCTCGGCGCAGTCCTCATCGCTGCCTCACTGACAATCGACCATTACCACCATTGGTATGATATCGTCGTCGGAGGTATTATCGGGTCGATGACGGCTACAGGTGCCTACAGATTTCAGTATGCAAGTGTTTGGGATTATAGGTTTAATCATATCCCGCTTCCACGTGTCGATGATGAGATGGGATATTCTTATGTGCTTGGGCAGTTCGATGTGATACCAGCGTCAAGAAGAGGAGGTTGGGCTCTTGAACAAGGCTTGATGTATGGTGCGCCATTTGATGCTGCTGTAGGTATAACAGACTCGACTAGAAACACGTAACAGGGCGTTAGCAACTGGCCTCTGTCACCAACTCCGTTTACCTTTGCTATTTTGTTTTAATAATAGCCGTAGTAGGCCAGGGTGTGTAAGGGTGCCACAAATTCTAATGTAAAGTACTATTTCTATTTTTTATTTATTTATACACGCTGGGACAGAGCTCGTCGAACTCAGTAAGAATGTGTGTCTTAATTTTTAAAACAGTTTTTTATGGGTCAAAACATTTAAAACACTTGCAGGATGTAAAATTCCAGAAAACGTTAGGTTATTAAAAAACTTCATTTTCTGAATGCTGGATTTAATTTACAAATTTCAAACTAAGTTATCCTTATTCAGTGTGTAGCCCGATTTTTCGTTTTGTAAACCTATCTAGTTTTATGTTTCTTCAATTGTTTTCTGAATAAAATTTGTATTTTTGGCTCGTTAACAATGAAAATCGCGTTCTATAGGCAAAAATAAAAGAAAAATCCAATAAACGCACTTTCAGGATCCTTGGAGGTTTTCCAAAAAAAGCCTTTATTTTCGCAATTGTTGTTTTGAGAACCATCCAGATCGATAGAGAATTGAATTTTAAACAAAATGAGACCTCTTCGAGCTTTCGATAACGAACTGCGGATGAGAAATTTCATCTGGACCTTTGAGGCACCGTTCACTTCCACTAATACAGGTTTATTCGGCCATCTGAATGACACAGAAAGCTCGAAGAGGTCTCATTTTGTTCAGAATTCAATTCTGTATCGATCTGGATGGTTCTCAAAACAACAATTGCGAAAATAAAGGCTTTTTTGAAAAACCTCCAAGGAACCTGAAAGTGCGTTTATCGGATTTCCGTTCCATTTTTGCCTATAGAACTCAGCCACAATAAATATAATCTTTGTATTCAACGTCTCCTCACACATATTTACTTCGAAGGCTGAACGTTGTGTAACTATCATGAGGATGGATGTGCATAGTTGTCAGATGTTTTATTTGTAAGTTGTTGATTTTTTTTTCTGTTTTTAAGTTTATCCAACGATATCTCTCTAAAACTAACTGAACAACCTTAATAATTGTTCTTATTATGCAGGTAGAAAGAGAATGAAATGTATATTAAGGAAATATGGCTTCTTTTTGCACCAGACCGAACGTATTCTATCGAGAGCCTTTTCTGAACTAATAAATAATTTTATTTATGTAGTTATCATATAAGCATGAATTTTATGTTCACTGTATTTTTCAAAAAAAAAAATGAAATCATCACAAAATAAAAAAATGCTAAATATTGAATCCACATACTTACGTGCGTAAAATATAAATACTCGGAATTCTTAACACAGATGTTTGGTTCGAAAAATCGAGTTCTATTTCCAGACGTCTTTACAAGTTAGAGCAATAACTATCACAGTAGAGCAGACTGATAAGTTGCTATTAGATGATGAAATTGTGCGATACAATTTCGCAATGAGTTATTTCCAGTCAACTGCTTTTCTTGCATTATTCGATGTCATGTCGAATATAAATATATATTTGTCTCAAAATGAATATACTGACTGTTTCACAGGCTTTCGAAGGTGAGAAACTGACGCTAAGAAGCCTTCTAAACTGATCCATCTTGAATATATATAC